AGTCTCACCATCCTTGTTTCTAAGGAGCATTCTGGCTGTATTTCTTCCAAATCATATTTGTTTGTCCTTTGGTAGTCCACGGTATTTTCTATATTTTTTTCAGCAGCACAATTCAAATGCATCAATTATTCTTTAGTCTTCCTTTTTTAATGCTTAACTTTCAGGTGAACATGCGGCAGTTGAAAATATCATGGCTTGAGGATCAGGTGCACCCCAGCCCTCAAAGTAACACTTTTGCTTTTCAGCACAAAGAGGTTTTGTGCAGCAGAATTACCCAATGCCATGTGTCCTTTGATGTCTTGACTACTGAGCATTGACTATGGATCGAAGTGATCCATAGTCACTTGACGACTTCAATCCTTTCTCCACTGGTACTCATTATCCACTGGTTCAATTGTGAAGATTTTTGGGTCTTTTTAATATTGAGTTGCAATACATCCTAATGTGCAATCCTTGATCTTCATCAGCAAGTGCTTCAACTCCTCCTCACTTTCAGCTAGCAAGGTTGTGTCATCTGCATAACGAGCCTTTTTCCAATCCTAATGGCAACTTCTTCTTAATAGAATCCAGCTCCTCTGATGATTTGCTCAGCATACAAAATAAGTAGGGTGAGAGGATACACACCTTTCTCGATTTTAAACCATGAGCATATTCCCTGGTTCTGTTTGCACAACTGCCTCTTCATCTATGTACACGTTCCACATTAGCACAATGAAGTGTTCTCAGACTTGCATTCTTCTCCAGGCTATTCATAGCTTGTCATGCTCCACACAGTAGAATGCCTTGGCACAGTCAATAAACCACAAATAAGTATCTTCCTGGTGTTTTCTGCTTTGGGCCAAGATCCATCTGACATCAGCAATATCTCTTGTGCCATGTCCTCTTCTGAATCCAGCCTGAACCTCCAGGAGCTCCCTGTCAATATATTGCCTTAATTATTATTGTATAATCTTAGCACAACTTTACTTACGTGTGATATTAATTTACTGTTCTATAATTTGCATGTTGGGTCACCTTTCTTTGGAAATAAGGATCTCTTCCAGTCCCTTGGCCAAGTGGATTCAAGCCAGACAAAATCCTTGGCCACTCCAGCCTTTTCTCCACCTTTCATGTTATCTATTGGTTCAGTCATGGCCCATTTTGGTCACTGGTTTATACGAGCTGCAATCCATACTGAAGGCTGCAATCCTTGATCTTCATCAGCAAGCGCTTCAAGTCTTCCTCACGTTCAGCAAGCAAGGTTGCGTCATTTTCATATCATAAGTTGTTACTAAGCCTTCCACCAGTTCTAATTCCATATACTTTTTATTAATCCAGCTTCTCTGATGACTTCTCCTCAGCATTCAGATTGAATTAGTACGGTAAGATAATACAACCCTGAAGCACCCTTTCCTTGACTTTGGCTCTCAAGGACTTAATTTTCTGGAGGTTTAACCTGCAAGAACAATTGTATTGCTCAGACTTTCATTCCTAATTTGAGTACTGTGAGTCTCTTTTCTTTTTCCCCTTGGTTATTATTCCAGGGAAGTCTGGCAAATTGGTTGATTTTTTTCAAACGGCCAACTTCTGGCTTTCGTGTTCTTCTCTATTATCTATGTTCTATTTTACTTTTTGCTCTAAAATTTTATTTTGCTTTCTTAGGTTTAATTAGCTCTTAGTTTTTCAAAGTCTTTAGGTGAAGGCTAGGTTATTGATCTTAAGATAATTTTTCATGTAGAGCTTAGTTACAAAAATTTCCATCTGATCAGTTTTCATTATATCCCATTTGTTTTTTTAAGTTGATTTTTCAGTCCTTTGTATTTTTTAATTTCAATTGTGATTTATTCTCGACTCATAATCACTTAAAAGTATATTTTTATTTGTGAGACTTTACCTGATTTCTTTATACTATTATTACACTCCATGTGCGAAGAGGGGAACCTTCTACTGGATGGATTAACAGTGTTTGCAACAATAATAAGGTCCAACATAACAATTGTGAGGATGGTCCAGGATTGGATACAGTGTTACCATATCTGTCAACTACCATATAAGAGGAGGGTGGAAATAAAACATAAAATTTAAATGTAATGGTTTACTGTGGGAACGAGATGATGGATAGATGCTAGATTTCTGTTAAGATACCTTGTTTTATATATGTGACTTTTAATTCCGTTTCCGTATTTATTAAAAAAGCAATGCCTAAACAACTCATGGAGCCCTGGTGGTGCAGTGGGTTCTGCACTTAGCTGCTAATCACAGAGTCTGTCGGAAGCCACCAGAAGCTCTACTCTATAAAGATTTCACAGCTCAGAAACCCAAAGGAGTACTTCTACCCGGACCTAAAGGGTTTCCAGTGTATAGGGCAAACCTTTGCGTTGGTATGAACTCACAGGAGTGAATGACAAACTATTCTTGGTCACAAACCTGCCTTGTCAAACATTTATGAGCGGAAACTATGCTGTGAAATCACTAACTTAATCACTACACTAAATTATATAGTATTAAAAGGCATAAATAAGTTTAAAAACAGGAAAACAAACCCACCACCACTGAGTTAATTCAGACTCATAGTGGCCCTACAGGGCAGACTGAAACTGTTCCTCAGGGTTTCTGAGGCTGTACGTCAGTACAGAAGCAAAGACTCACCTTTCGCCTGCTAGCTTCTGTAATATACAATATGAGCATGATTACTCAATTAATGATATCTCAGATTAAATGTAATATTTGTTCCTTGGTGTCTCTTATTTAATTTTTCTGAAGAAAGATTATGTAATATGTAATATACAATATGAGCATGATTATTCAATTAATGATATCTCAGATTATATGTATTATTTGTTCCTTGGTGTCTCTTATTTAATCTTTCTGAAGAAATATTATGTAATATGTAATATACAATATGAGCATGATTATTCAATTAATGATATCTCAGATTAAATGTATTATTTGTTCCTTGGTGTCTCTTATTTAATCTTTCTGAATATTATGTAATATGAAGTCTAATTACCTTAGAGTATACTTTTTGTAGCTGGTAAAAGAAAATGAAAAGCTTAATACTTGATTTACTTAGAAGTTAGAGGTAATTTTCTTTCACCTCATATATTACAATAGATTTATTTAATTACAGTACATCCCACTTATACATTTATAAATATATACATACATACATACATGAAATTGTATTCTAGACAAGACTCTAAACATTTAAAGGAGAAAAATTCTTTATTTGAAAATTGCATTATTAGTTAAGTATATATGTTTCATGGAATCAAGACTTCCTGAATTTTCTTTTTTTCTCTACTTTATTCCCTTTTGGTAACATGCTGATTTCTATACAGAAAGAATAAGGAAAGGGAAGAAACTGCAGTTTCATTTTAGATGTCAAAATGGCTTGTTTCATAAGAAAATTTAAATTGTGTATGTGAATACAAAGATTAGCATAGTTTCGTTAAACACCGATGAAATCCTGTAACAATATAATAAATATTTAAAAATCAAATATCCTATTTTTACAGTACACTGAAAAAGCTAAGATAATAAAAAATACACAGGAAAATATTGTTAATGATTTCCCTGTTCTCTTTTCAAATACATGGCTCTCAAGGTAAATCACTAGGTCCTTAGCTGCTCAAATCACTCAGACACCCATACGCAGTGCAGCCAAAAGATTTTTATTAACTATGTCTCCTTCAGGTAGTTCATTTATAGTGATTTCCAGAAGCGCCCTGACAGAGCACAATTCAAGGACTCTCCACGTTAGTCTTGACCAACTGTTGAGCACTTGGCCAAAGCCTCATGGAAATGCAGGTCCTGGCACAATGAGCACAGATATAAACATGTCCCCCTACCCCGGTCTGTACACTTCAGACCAGGCGATCTTCACTAAACTGCACGGAAACCTCTGGCGCCCACGGTACTTTACTCTCATTACAGAAAAATCTTTACTGCTGAGGGCACTGGGTCTCTGGAGTTGCTTTGGACGACACGTACAAAATAGGGTGCGATTTCTTACAAGTTTCCTTTTCCAATTTGCTTGTAGTTTCTTTGCCTTCTTTAACTTCTGTTTGAAGCTTTGATTCAGCAATTAACCTACAGGCATTAAAGCATCCACTCTGTATTCAAATGTGATTACGAGAAAACGAAAGAACAAACCCCTAGTACAAGTGCTCCCTATGCAGCACTGGTTTCTAAAATAGACTTTCAATGAAGAGTCATCACAGGCGACTCCCAGGCCAAAGAACTTTTACACATAAATCGACCTTCTGTTTAAATATCAAAAGGAATGTCTTGATAAGTAGCCATGGCAAGGCCTACATGAAATACTTAAAGTCACCAGGTGCCTATCATGATAAGCATGCCTAACATGAAAATTAAAATGTCAGTTAACAAAACATACAAAAGGATAAAATTAGCAATGAATCTTAGCTGCATGGATAGATGTCTAAGTACTTATCAAAACAAAACAAAATCAAAACCCCAAATGGAAAATTCTGGAGAAAAACAGTTTAAGAAAAAGAAACAGGAGAGATATTAAAAAGTCCTATAAGAAAATCAAATCAATTATAAAGCATGCAATAATGGAGTTCCCAAGAAAACCCTCATTTATTGTTATGACATTATCTTAGATAGTGTATCTAAGTTAAGCCTGCACAGAGAACAAAGTTGGAAACTTCTTAAGTTAGCAGATGGATTCACACACACACACACACACACACACACACACACACACACACAAATGTTTCGTGGCATTTTATTTGTTTTTGTTTTATACCAAGACAGATCTCAATGTGCTATTTAAGTCAATCAAGTAGCTACTTACATTTGCTTAGTAATTTTTAATCAAGCAAAAGGGCAGAAAAGAGACGAAGACAACACAGACAGCAAGATTTGCACTGATCAGTTTTGGAAACCACCTCCAGAAATATACAATGATCAAGCACATTTACACAATGCGTCACATATGAACAAGCATAGCCTCCCGATTCATCTCAGAACTATTCAAACCTGTGGGTCATGTTTCGGTCATCTGAAGTTACGCTGTTCTTGAAAACAGTGACCTTCTACCATTTGTGGCTTATGCCGCAAGCATTTGCCACTCACCTTCACCCCACACCGCAGAAGAAAGACCAGGGAGATCTAACAGGAGATTACGGCCATGGAAAAGAAAACCCCACAGAATGCAAATCTATTCTGACATGCATGATGATGTTACCAAGAGTTGGAATCGACTCGGTGGCAAAGGTCTGTGGCTTTTTTTTGTCCTAAATAGGTTCTTACATTAAGATATGAAAACCCAGGAATAGCCGCGAACACTGCTGAAATGCTTCCACAGTGGATTACGAGTAGCACTGACGGTGGGAAATTTAAGATGAAACACACAAGGAAGCCCTTTTTACGGAAGGCGGGATAAGGGTGACTATTTCAACTGAAACGAACATTTGCGACATGTTAGGTCCTATCTTGTATCGCTGATAGTGATGTAGCCTTAGCATCACCTTAAAGATCACATTTAATAAGAGGCGATCTGAGCTAGCTATTTTCTTGTCGATAACGTTCTTTTTCTAAAGGTGTATTTATTTTAAATGTCTCTGTCATTCCTCTGTATGTGGACATTGTTCACCTTTTATTTTTAAAACCTTTTCCATTTTCTGCAGACACTTATTTTTGCCTCACTCCCGGACCACGCCAGAGGCTATTTCCTATTCCACGCAGTCCATCCACTACCACCTGCTGTCCTTCTCTCTCACCTTCTAAGTCTTATTTTTGTTTCTTATAAAGGACAGTCTTCCTTCAGACATACGCGTCTGACACCTCCTTGTTCAGGCACAAGTTCAATTAAACAGAAACTAGAGGCTTTGAAATTTGGATATATAAAAAAGAAAATGAATTAGCTTCGATATTTTCAAATGTCAAAATAGTTATCAAAAGCCATGCCTGAAAGCGTGAAGATTACACAATTTCAAACGCCATAAAAATTTCACCAAACAGTTTTCTAGAAGGCTGAAATTTGTTAGTCTACTGGAAAGCCCTTTTAGAAGGTAAGCTAATTTGTCTTCCATGGCCACTCTGGAACCAGGGGGAAAAAATGACAGCACATTTAATTCAAATCAACCTTCAAAGATGTATTCCTTGATATTCCATTTCATGACATAGAAATAACTAATTTTTTCAAAGCACCAATTACCATATTTCAGGACTCTTTCCCCCTTGCAATCATTTTAGGCTTTCTCAAAGCTTTGGAAAAGCTGAAAGCGGGCAGGTGAAATTGGGGGATGATACTGCATGCAATGCTAAGAAAATAGACAAAGAAATAGAAAGCACAGTCCATGCAGCGACAGAGAAGAGATGGAGAGGGCTGCTGACCGCCTGGAGGACAAGAGGGGACTGACCTGGCAGAGTTCAGCGTGTTTCCACTTCTTTCACTCAGAGCTTCAGAGTCCACTGGAACGCCTGCGAGCGTCACACGCTTCTTCTCCTTTGTGGGCTGAAATTCCCCCGACTGGCCTTGGTTGGGAGAGAGACTGGCCATTGGCGTGTTCTCAGAAACTGTCATTTCTAACTGCAAGTTATCTCCCGAGTTGTTGGGCCAGGCCCACGCCTCCTCTTCCTGAGTGGG